ACGAATTCAGACTATCTCTTCATTGCCATCAGAAGCAAATGCAACAGTGGATGAATTGAAGTACGCACCATCAGCTCGCCGTAGGAAGAAAGCAGGCCAGCTCCGATAGCTTTCAGTTGACCGTCCTGGCGACAGAGGCCAAATTCAATTATGAACCAATAGACCTGAAATTACTTGGCAACATCAGTAACACATCAGCGTTGATGCGGTACCTCCAGACAGTTGACAGCAGATCAGTGCTACTCTGCAATTGACGGCGGCAGTTTAGTATCCGGCAATGAATGCTCACCAAATTGTCTATTTGGGTTGAGAATTTATTCTCTTGCCGGCTGGTCACAGCTGTAGGAATGAAAAGTTGAATGAGGAGCGCACAGCTGATTCACAGAGCAATAAAAAAGACAGAAGAGGCTAGATTCAGCCACCAGAATGGTAAGAAGAAATTGGAATCATTGGCGACGCGCATTGGGCGGGCCGGTGCGATCGTGCGCTTTTGCAGTGTTTCGTGCTGTAATAAGGCCACCCGAAATTCTGCTAGCTAGAAACCTCTTGTACATACTGGCCCTCGAATTTCGGGAAGTTAATTATCCACGTTATAATTGGACAGGAAACATTTCCTCGAAATCCCAGGCTCTCAGCTTTCTCAGTTCCCGAGTTACCCAAATTCCAGCTTCCCTGGTTCCGGAGTCACCCATTTTCCCGCCAAAAGTTTTCATGAGGCCGTACGTGGCAACCACGTATAATGGGGGCTGAATTTGATAAATTTAAGTTGAGAGTGAGTTGAGAACATTTCCTGAAAGTTTCAGCCTCCCACCCTCCCTGGTTCCCGACCTAGCGATTTTCGTGCCAGGAACCCCACACGGAGCCGTACGCGGGAAACACGCACACCTGGGGGCAAAATTTGAAATCTTTGAGTTCTATATGGACGGGGAACATAATTCCAATGTAGCAGCTTTCTAGCTTTTCTGGTTTCCAAGTTAGCGATTTCCCCGCCAAAACCTTGAGGCGCTCGTACGCGTAGTCTAGACGTGCTTGAGAATTGGTACCGCGGCCCTGGTGTGGTACTTGACCGAGGAACCCACTTGCAAAATTTTGGCGCTGGAACTTGCTTGGGTGCCGAGATGAAATACTCGGATAGACACACACATACGTACACCGGGGTCGTCACAGTATGTGTTTTTGCATATATGCAAAAACGCACAATGATCAGTTTTTGAAAAGAAGTAGCTTCAGTCTAGTGGAAACTTTCTTTTTGAATCATGGATTTGTACTTTACAATGATAACTTGAGACGCTTCAGAGCACAAAGAAGCCTAAGACAGAGAAATTTGTGTACAGTGGCAAGTTGTTCGATCTGTTCGTCGGTTGCACCCAATGATAAAAGACCGATTTGTTGTGAAAACTGAGCAATGATCGGATCAGCGAACATTGGACAGTGGCCAAGAAATTCGTGAACCAAGTCTGGTTCTGGACTATGGTGCGGCGATTTGTGATGACGAACGTACATAGTAGTCTGTAAATGAAACACATCAAATCTAACTGCCACTGGTAAAAAAAAAAACGAAAAAATAATACTGATGACTTACAGGAAGAGAAAAATAAAACTGAAAACAGGAAATGAAATGAAAAGATTAAATTTATACCTGAAAGACACGAAATGCCAAGCTCGCCAAAAAGTCTCGAGCTGAAAGAAGCCCGGCGCAAGGACGGAGTGAGAATCCGGTTCGACCTGGAAATTGTTCCAATAGGGTTATTTTTGCTAATTTTTTAGGGTTATTTTTGCTAATTAAGTGAGTGCAGGAAACCTACGCTGAAGATATTTATTGATAAGCGACAGTTTCGGTATTCGGCTGGGCTCCAAAAGGCCCTCTCGCTCCATTTGCTGAAAATTTTGTTGATACTCCACACAGGTATGTGACGCATGCATCGATTTCAGCTTATTAAATGCTGTTTCCCAAGTTTTATGCTCCTGCGCCGAATATTCCGTGTCGGGCAATGTTTCGCCACTGAAAGTGATAATTAAAATGACAAACAGAGTTTCATGCCCCCCAGATAATCGTCACGAGCACGCTTTTTTGCATTGCTTAAATGCAGCGAATGCCTCTTTTCAACGACATTTATTATTACATAACTCTAATATGTGCACTTATCTTGGAAATTTTCTGGTTGCTCCTTTTTTTGCCACGTCTTGCTTTATTTAAAAGCAGAATGGAAACTGCCAGACTTTCACGATTGTTGCGATTGCGCAAAAATTAGATTTCAAATGCGGAACAGCTACAAGCAACCCCTTATTTCAGTAATCAATGTATAACGAACAAACTGTAAATAACAGAGATATGATCTGATGAACTTACGTAGCGGAGCGTATCAGCATCTGATAAAAGCAGTCTCTAAATTTTATTCACTCACCATCCCCACGGTGGCTTATTTTGGCACTTCGTTCCTCGTCCATATCGCCGAACCTACTCTCCTACTGTTGCGCCTCTTCTACCCATCTAAGTCCTCGGCACCAGTGAGCAAATAAATTGCTTAAAACACACATATCAACCAGTTATGTAACCTAAACGGCGACGCGTCAGGTTTACCGGCGCGATCGTGTTTTCTTGTTTGAACTTGCAGCAGTCAGTCATTAACAAAGTGAATGATTTTTGCGTTACAGTTTTTAGTACGTGAACGCATGTTACTTGCCTTTTGGCTTTTCTATCATGCAGAAGGAAAGAGGGGTCGGTTAAGATGATAATGTTGCATAGTGGGACCACATGGACCCTTAGCGAGCGTGATCGTCTATTTTGCGTGAAAAGAAATGAATAGTTTTTGATGGACAGTTGTTCATCAAAAAATGCGAATTTGTCAATGTCGGAAGTGAACTATTACGAAATCCGCAAAATCCACATACTTTTAAGGTTGCGATAAAATTGAATATGTATCAGGTGCGCGTGCTGGAGACTTCGTCTTTAAGCTAGATTTAGAAAACGCAATTACTAAAGCTCGGATCGACTCGTCTGACTTCGGCTCGCTTCGGCTCCATCTCGGCCGACCTCAGCTGCCCCGGCTCCACCTCGGCCGACCTCTACAGCTGCACGAATTGCCAATTTAGTGACAGATGTGTAGTGGGGGAGCAGGAAGGTGGGCAGGGAGAAAAGGAAAGGCACGGGAAAGGGGAGAAAGGGGAGCCATAGGAAAGACGGGACGTGGGGGGAAGAAAGAGGGGAGGGATGGGAGGGACGGGGATAGGAGCAAGCGGGGAGGAGGAGAAATAAGGGGAGGGAAGGGCAAGGGGGATGGTAACCGCGGAGTCGGAGGTACCGAAGAGGGGTTGGGTGAGTTGAGTGGGAAGGCGGCGTGGCCACAAGTGGAGAGGGCTGATGGGCGGATGGAATGAGGATCCGTGTGCTGCTTTTGTCGCGGATGCGCGGGGTATGGAAAGTGTTCGGGAAGGGGTATACTGCAGACGGCATAGAGGGGGGAGAGGGGGG